GGCGTGTCGGGGTAACCAGCTACATGCCTGGCACTGGTTCTTAAACAGTGGATGCGGAGGGCCCTAGTAAAGACGTAGTGATGATGTGTGTTTGTTTTGTTTCATTTAATTAATGTATGTTAATTTTTAAGTTCATGATTACGTTTGTTGAATTGTATGTGCAGCGTGGTGAGCCCCGCCCTAGGCTGGGGTAACGCGCTACATAAAAACACTAGTAATATTGATGATGATAATAATAATAATAATAATAATTGTAAGAAAGTGTGTGGGTGAAGGGCTGGGGTGGGTGGGGGTGGGGGTGTCGGGGTGTGGTGGTGTGTTCAACATGGAGGAATGGGTGGGTTAAAGCAGGATGGTGGGAGGGGTGGGGTGGAGGTACATTTGAAAAAGTCTATTTGACAATGTCTATTAAAGAAGTCTATTTGAGAAGTCTATTCGAGAAGTCTATTCGAGAAGTCTATTTGAAAGGCTATTTGAGAGGTCTATTAAATTTTAAGAAGTCTATTCGAGAAGTCTATTTGAAAGGCTATTCGAGAATGTCTATTTGAAAGGCTATTTGAGAATGTCTATTTGAGAAGACTATTTAAGAAGTCTATTTGAGAAATATATTTGATAAGTCTATTTCAGAAATCTATTTGAGAAGTCTATTTGAGAAGTATATTTGAGAAGTATATTTGAAAGGCTATTTGAGAATGTCTATTTGAGAATACTATTTAAGAAGTCTATTTGTGAAATATATTTGAGAAGCGTATTTCAGAAATCTATTTGAGAAGTGGGAGTGCAAAATTTCAGAAGACAATGACGCAGTGGTAGACCACTTTTGAAACACACCAATGATCCCAGCGCTAATGGAACTGCTTTGAACACTAAGACAGTTGAAGAAAATCCACCGCCCTCAGATCGATAATCCCAATTGATTCATTTGATCACTACTGTTATCGATTTACCCGTCTCCACGGATCATTGAATAGGTTGTTTTGTAGATTTGATTTTTTTTTTTTTTTAAAAAGTAAGCAAGACTTTGTATGCTGACCAGTTATTAGAAACTAAAGTGACCAGCGACAGAGAGAATAAGGAATAATTTTAAAAAAGCCGGCATCAGTTTTGCTTTCTTGTGCACTAAGCATCGGTAGAGAGTGTGGACTAAAGTATTACGGTAGTTAAACACTTAAACAACAAACGTTCCAAAGGTTTAATAAGAAGAACACTGAGGTTATGGGGATTTCACCTCGAAATAATGTATTGAATTCACACGATTCTAAATAGGGTTGGTCTTTACTTTACATATTCGATAGAGAACTGGTAAAAATATCCTATTACTTTCTTTTTAAAACATCTTTTTTTTTCAAATTTTTAATTTCAGATTATAAGATGGTTTGGCCTGTTTGTTTGTATTGGACGAAAAGTAGCTGGCATTCTGATATACTGATATGTCAAGCGTTGACTGGTCAGAAAGATTTTTTTTTTTTTTAAACTGAGAACACACTTTATGTGACCATGATAAAACGTATCTAAATGACATCTATTTTTACATAGATTAAATAGACACAAAGAAAAAACAAAAGACAAGCTGAATGAAATATTTAGAGAAATAAATTGCAGTAAATATTGCGTAATCTACAGTGTAAATTCAATGTTATATTGACAGGTGTGTACAGTGAGCGCAAGCCTGGAGCATGTCACAAATGACCAAGGGCCGTACACGGGTGTGACTGTCGTGGGGCAAAACGAGAACAGACGAGTGTTGAGATAGACGAACACAAATTAAATGGGAAAACGTAAATAGGCGGGGTATTCGAGGACGCTTTGAGAACCCTTGTTCATTTTAGCACACATAAATTGGCTGAGTATTCGAGGGTGCTTTGAGAACTATAAGTTGAGAACTACTGTTCATTGAAGCGCACATAAATTAGCTGGGTATTCAAGGGGTAGTTCAGTCTCTAAGTTGAGAATCAATTTTCATTTTAACACACATAAATAGTCTAAGTATCGAGAGTGTATTCAGCTTATAATTTGAGAACCACTGTTCATTATACCACAAAATAAAGGAGCAGGCTATTCGAGGGTGCTTTCAGGAACAATTTAGAGGCTCTGGAATCGGTATATCGAAAGATTTGAAGTAATGCGTTTGGTAGATTACGTAACATACGTTCTTTGAAAAACGCCACCGAAAGAGAGGAGACGATGTGAAAGCGTAAAATATATTGGAACAGCAACATAATAACAGATATCCTTAAATGGAACGCACACACTATTTTTTAATGGAATGTTTATCTCACTAAACACCGGAGAAAACGTTGTGTATATTTAACGCAGTCATAAGGAAGAATGTGATGTAATAAACAAACATGATCATACGAAAAACGGGCTCCAAATTTTTAACATGTCAGATAAAATTTGATTTATATCGAACAAAATAATACTGAGAATGGTATGGAAATTGAATTGGAACAAATAGATATTTTTATTTATCTATATCTAACGTAAAATGGAAGGATTGGGGTGTGTCCTTGATCACACAAAAAAAAAGAATAAACAAAAAAAAAACAACAAAAAAACACACAAAAAAACAACAACAAAAACACAAAAAACAAAAAAAACAACAAAAAGAAGTAATGTCAAGCTTTGAAATAAAGAGAATTTATAGATGGAAAAGAAAGTATATAAAACTTTTTCAAAGAAGAATGAGATATTATCTTATTTAATCAAAGAGAGAATAGAATACATGCCTAATATAAAAGAATGGTATGGAAATTGAATTGGAACAAATAGATATTTTTATTTATCTAAATCTAACGAAAAATGGAAGGATTGGGGTGTGTCCTTGATCACAAAAAAAAAAAGAATAAACAAAAAAAAAACAACAAAAAAACACACAAAAAAACAACAACAAAAACACAAAAAACAAAAAAAACAACAAAAAGAAGTAATGTCAAGCTTTGAAATAGAGAGAATTTATAGATGGAATAGAAAGTATATAAAACTTTTTCAAAGAAGAATGAGATATTATCTTATTTAATCAAAGAGAGAATAGAATACATGCCTAATATAATCTTAGGGAGAATGTGAGGCATGCCATAATTAATCATAGACAGAATGGCATATGTGTATGGCAAAATAGAGAATTTAATTATTACCAAACTAAATTAAGTGAGAAAAATAAGAATATTTGATTTAATCATTGGCTTTAAGGAATGTATCATCATAGAGAAAATAGGTGACCTAGCCAACTTGTTAAGAAAAAAGAATATCTGATTTTAAACTTATTCATAGGAATATTAGTTGTAAATTTTACGTAATTATGGAATAAAAGGCATATATATATGTGGGGACATACATAAAAATGGGATGTATATGCACTGAAACATACGGACAACGGATATTTATCAAACGTGTTTTACAGATATTGGGATGTAGACCTAATGGGACATGCATATAATGATTTGAAAACCTAATGGGACATGCAGATAATGATTTGAATACCTAATGGGACACACAGAGAATGAGATGTAAACATACTGGGACATACATATAATATTACGATGCATAGGTAATGGGGCATACAAGAAATGGGATGTATACTTTATGGGACATACACTGGGCTAAAAATTGGAATAATAAACAATTGGATATAGGCCTATTTGGACATGAAGGGATTGGCATGGATGCCTATTGTGACTTACAGAGAATATGATATTATGTAATTGGACATACATAGAAATTGATTTGTAAATAATGGGAGTTACAGACAATAGGTAGTGTAACTAATTATAATTTACAGAGACGGGGATGGGTACCTAATGGGACATACAGATAATGGTATGCATACCTAATAGGACTAGCAGAGAATAGGTATTATAGATAAAGGCTCTGAAAGAGAATGTAATTTCCTAACTAATAGGACAATCTGAAAATGAGATGCATACGTAATTGGGGGGGGGGGCATACATAACAGGAGACACAGAGAATTGGAACCTAACAAAATGAAAGAACTGAACTTGGCTTCCAAACATGCAGAAACACAAAAAACAAAATGATTGTGTGTGGGCATGCACATGAAGATGAACATAATAAAACTCAAAACACTGGGCTAAAAATTGGAATAATAAACAATGGGATATAGGCCTATTTGGACATGAAGGCATTGGCAATGGGACACAGAGAATGAGATGTAAAGATACTGGGACATACATATAATATTACGATGCATATGTAATGGGGCATACAAGAAATGGGATGTATACTTTATGGGACATACACTGGGCTAAAAATTGGAATAATAAACAATTGGATATAGGCCTATTTGGACATGAAGGGATTGGCATGGATGCCTATTGTGACTTACAGAGAATATGATATTATGTAATTGGACATACATAGAAATTGATTTGTAAATAATGGGAGTTACAGACAATAGGTAGTGTAACTAATTATAATTTACAGAGACGGGGATGGGTACCTAATGGGACATACAGATAATGGTAGGCATACCTAATGTGACTAGCAGAGAATGGGTATTATAGATAATGGCTCTGAAAGAGAATGTAATGCCTAACTAATAGGACAATCAGAAAAATTAGATGCATACGTAATTGGGGGGGGGGGGGCATACATAACAGGAGACACAGAGAAGTGGAACCTAACAAAATGAAAGAACTGAACTTGGCTTCCAAACATGCAGAAACACAAAAAGCAAAATGATTGTGTGTGGGCATGCACATGAAGATGAACATAATAAAACTCAAAATAACAGACGTGTTAGATCAGTGGTTCTAAAATTCATTACTTATCTCAATAAGAATCTTTCTGAACGGATCAATTAAAAAAAAATGTTAAAAAAATAAATAATTTAAACTTATTTTTAACTCTGGGAATGTAAAACAACAAGGCCCCTTAAATGTCTATAAGTTGAGAACCACTGTTCATTTTAACACACGTGTGAAAAAATAAAATCTTACCTTCTGCCACTTTGCGACTATCCAATTCAAGAACGTCATTTCCTCTTTCTTTACCGCCACGAGACGAGGATGCGCCCTCGTCAACACCTCGTTGCAGTTGGGGCATCTCTCTACTCTCTTTGTCTCGCTGGTTCCTCGCAGCATAGACACGGTATCCATTGCGAAAGCCTTGGGGAACAACTGGGTATTTTTCTCAACCGGCTTCACCCGGCCACCGTCTCTGTTTCTCTTGGGTCGTCTCTCCTTCGCCGAGAACCCCCGTGAGATCAGAAGATTGGCTTGGTGATAAGACGCGATGTAATCAGACTCGTCGGCTGAGGCGTCAGCCAGTGACGTCAGTTGATCTTGTCCTTTGCGAAACTCGTCCTCGCTGCTGCGCGTTGAAATGTCAACATTTGATCCTTGCTCTTCTTTTGCGCCACCACAGAAGACATCATTTTCCTTCGCATTTTCCTCCTCATCGCCGAGCCGAATATCTGGATAAAGAAAAAAATGTGGGTCGATGACTCCATAATGACCACTGATTCCTCGAGGGGAGTGTCTTTTACCGAATCCAATAAGCACTTCCGCAGCGGTTGACCTGGGTCTCGGGAGAGCTGTGACGGGCCTGTTGCCTGAACGAGAAGCAGCTGCCGAGGACGCCCGAAGATCGGCCCTCGGGAAATCCTCAGAGTACCGACGTTTAGCCAGTTCCGGTTTTCGCCGATTGCCTGACGAATCCAAGATAGCATTTCGGTCATGTAATTTGCGCAGATTCCGGAAATCCTCAGCACAATTCGGATCATTGCCATCCGATGATTGGATCGATGCGGACATCCCGGTCCGATGTTCATAAGGGGACAATGAAAGGGTCACGCTGGACGCCGAAGTCAGATAATCGCCACCCGTTGCCCCACGATTCATGGCAGCGGTAGTCTCGCTCCGCCTTTGGATATCCTCGTAGCTCTTGTATCGACTCGGCGGTCTTGGAGGAGGAAGCTCCGCCGCCGCCATTCTGACCAGTTTATCCCCATAGGGTCCCCTGTCAACTGTTGAAGCCGGGGCGCGGAGGTCGTTGATCTTAGCCTGGTGGCGCCGGTGGAGCACGTCCGACAAGATGTGCTCCTGCAGACTTTTCCCACCCCTAGCGTTTTCGTTGTTGCCGGTGAAGAAGCTTTCTTTGTCTCGAAACCGGAAGAGCTTGACATCACGGGCATCTGGAGTGAACGCACGGCGGCTGCTGCCGCCTGACCGCGTCAAGGGATCCTCCGAGGTCAAGGGACCCGAGACGGATGACAAAGACGCAGGGTGGACGTACACGTCATCAAGACCATCGTTGGGAATGACGGTGGTGTACTGGGAAGACGATGTCACGTCATGTATTCTCTTGGCGTGAGACGCCATCTTTCTTTGATGGGAGATATTAATATGGCGGCACCTAACCTCGTCCTGGTGGATAAGAACACGATTGGATAAGGTCTCAGGCTGGATGATGTCTCCCTGGATGTAAGTTAAATTGTAAGTTTGGTTTTTATTGTGTGTGTGGGTGCGAGGGTGTTCCTGTGGAAGTAAAGGAAAAAATATTATATGAAACTTTATAATAATTTAATTATATAATATATATATATATAATTGAATTGATTTAATTGCATCCCTGAAATCGATCTACTATTTACAGAATTTCAATCCATAGACTCCTGTATTCTGGAAACTCAACAACGACAACAAATATTTTAACTATTTATAGATTTATACCTAATAATTTCAACGACAATGCATCTATTTTTATCTCAGTCTTGCAAACGACGCTGCCACACAAAGAAGGTGGCAATACATTAGAGCGACATTTACAACGTGCTAAGTGCTAAGTCATCTGTCGCTTTGTTTGTTTGTTTGTTTGGTTTTTTGGTTGGGAGCTATTGTTTTTTTTTTTTTTTTTTTTTTTTTTGGGGGGGGGGGGGTTTTGTGGGGGTGGGGGGGAGTTNTGTGGTGATCTGACTTATGACTTATTAGAGAGGAGTATCTCTCGTATGAGATCTCCTCTTGGCACTCTGTCTAGGGATTCGTTATTTAAGCCAAATTACCACACAGACATAACACCTATCTATATACATATAGTATAGACTGAAACGAAGTCTTAGTTAAATGAGAAATTAACTTAAAATATTTATTACATAATAATATTTACAACTTCCTACATAAAACACTCTGGGTGCTTAATATATATACATCAAACGGATTTCATCCAATTAGAAAGGTATATTAACACAAAGCAAGTGTCCCTAACATACACACGGTATCATCATTATTACTGCTATATTGCTCAAGTTCTATGCTCGATCTTGGTAAACTTAGCCTTTATAGTTTCTGTGATGGTCTCGGTGGATCACACAGTGTGGGAGTCCTTCTGTTCCAGAAGCGTGTCCCTGTTCCGGCCTTCGGAGCTGTTCTGAGCGTAGCGAAGTCGGCGTTCCCTGTCGTAGATTCCCTGGGATGTCTGCGAGGGGAAGATGTCTCTCCCGCGATAAATCGTGGTGGTGAGAGTCCCTGGATCTCGAAGTCCTAGCTGTCAGGTAGTTTGGTGTAGGATGTTGATCAATCCCCTAGTTCCAGCTTCAAGGTAAGTCGGTCCAGTAATAGAAACCAGGCTAAAGGCAAAATGATATCCAGGCGAATATCCATAAGCTGATAAGTCCCGTTCCAACAGCAACGAATTCAGATCGATGTATGGAAGATGACGTAGCCTGTACATATATACATACAATTTGTGGATGGACTTATAAGTCTTGTCATTGTCGGCGAGAGCATATGTTGCATCGCGACAATGTTAGACCACGCAAACATTTTAATTAATGAAGTATGGGACATGGTATCTAGAATAATCATTAATACATAGTATACATATTTAATATTGTCTTCTCGTTAACAGAGAAATGGGCGAGTTGGAACAACAACCTACCATCCCCATGATGGGATGGCGGCGTGTCGAAGCCCGCGGCAAAAGCAATAATAGAATTCAGAATATCTATATAATGTAAATATAGGCATTATTAGAATAAGATTAAACACGATCGAATATGTGTGACATAGCGAATGAACAATACAAGTGCAATACCATAATGTCAAAATCATGGTTGAGTACTTACTAGTACTCTAGGTAGCAGTTGCAGTTAAGTATCACGCCAGTGAAGTACTAAGTCTAGTCACTTCAAGCGTCCACAATCAAGTGATCAGATCTTAAAAGTCATATACTTGCTTGTTCAGGCCATTTATTCCGGTTGCGTGACGATTAGCTGATGATTCAATTGTGTGATTCAAATGTTATATGTGTTTCCATCCAATGAAAATCACTTTCGCTGTTGCGGGTTTGACCTTCAACCTTTAAAGTTTATCGGGCTGAGGTGAACATCCTCATTCTGGCCTTGGTGTGAGTTCTCTGTCTAGACAATGCAAAACCAGCAGGGGGCGATACTCCGCCTTGCTGTCTACATGGCAAAAATGAGGGGGGGGGGTGGTATTATTTCCTCAAGGTTGTTCGGTGGGATGAGTTGACCGCAAATAGCATGCTCTGGAGGTGAGCGAACTGATGCACGAATGCGATATCACAAGGGAACTCACTCGTGCCGAGCATTTGCGGGTCAACTTGAGGGGGGGGAGGGAAATGAGTTATTTGACAAGGGTTTCCTAGGGCGGGTTTACGATGGAAGAAATTGGACAAAGTCCAGCTNAAGGTTGTTCGGTGGGATGAGTTGACCGCAAATAGCATGCTCTGGAGGTGAGCGAACTGATGCACGAATGCGATATCACAAGGGAACTCACTCGTGCCGAGCATTTGCGGGGCAACTTGAGGGGGGGGAGGGAAATGAGTTATTTGACAAGGGTTTCCTAGGGCGGGTTTACGATGGAAGAAATTGGACAAAGTCCAGCTTCAGATCGTCACAACATCTCTTATTTTATCCTTTTTTTTTCAGCGGCAGTGCTTTTGTTTCGAAATGGGTGGGGTGGGAGGGGGGGGGGAGACATTCATCACCAACCCTGCCAACAGGACAGCCAACGACTAAAACGCCAGCAACAGCACAAACTAACGAAATACACCAGCACCGACCTACCATAGTATTTTGTGTGTGTGTTAAAATGGGTATAACGTAATAACGTAATTATCATTGCAAAGCGTAATAAATGTGCATGCGTAAATGTATGTCTGCTCCTTGAAGACATCTATAGTATTGAGAGACAGGGAAGACACAATCCAATGAATAAGACGAAATAAAATCCTTCACACTGAATCCGAAGAAGTAATTTTTTTTTTTTAAATTTAAAGGGTAATTTGCTCGTTTCAATAAAAACCAAAATACAATGTTTACCTTTTTTTTTACATATATCTTCCCATGTAGACGGCCGGGCTTACTTCTTCATTCCTTGAGCGATTAAGAGACAAAAACCAAACGCGCATCGTGTCTTACACACAGTCTCTACTCTACTCTCTAGATCGTCGTTAAACCAAAACAACAAGGCTACGCCAGCATAGCTTCAATCTGACAGATTAATTGAGTGTGAATTAAAAGCATTGCCCCACCGTGATTCGTGATCCATTAAAAATCCCCCCCCCCCCAATTGACAGTTCAAGCCTGTTCTTACGCACTTACATACAGTTTTTGTGTTCTTGTCGATTGTTCGTCTGCTGAACACAGCAGCCGGCACGGGCTTCGAACCCGTGTACTAATATGTTTGAAACAAATACCCGACACCCTAAACCCCCCCACCCCAATACTTTTTTTGTTAAGCCCCGATTCAAGTTGGCGATTGGGTCGTGACGAAAAAGATACCAGGTAATCGGTGTTGATTAAAAATACTGAAATACTCTATTGAATTATGGCCTTTGTCTTATAATATACACAGGGCGTTAAGGGCACAAACTTTGGGATCCAATGTTTTCATAGCCAGAATTTATATTCGGAAAGTGGAGCAACGTGTTGTCCCCACCCTCATCCCCTCCCCAACGCTTTTTGTAACCTGTGTCATAATCAAATATATTTTGTGTGTGGGTTTGGGGGGGGGGTGTTGAATACCAGTAGATTTTAATTAAATAATTATTCCAGCATAGTAGATAAATAGTGATTTTATAATGAAGTGGACTTTAACACCAAGAGAGACATCAATCAATGAAATCACGTTCATTGGAGCCAATAATTTTGCCCCCCTCCCCCTCCCCCCCCCTCCCCAAAAAAAAAAGCATCACACCATTGTGTCTAAAATAAAGCCCTTTTATTCCAGAGCATCGCAAAAAGGTGAAGACAAAATATATTGATTTTGCCCCCCTCCCCCTCCCCCCCCCTCCCCAAAAAAAAAAGCATCACACCATTGTGTCTAAAATAAAGCCCTTTTATTCCAGAGCATCGCAAAAAGGTGAAGACAAAATATATTGGTAATGTCACGAAACACACATAGTCTTCTGGTGACAAGATCAAAATAAAGCAGGCACACCTTTGGGAGAGTGGCTACATTCAAATTTCTAAGAGCTACGATACATGAGCTCAGTGAAATGTGGACAAAGGTGAAAGAAAAGCACACTAGCTGGCAATCGTTTCTTGTTTGAGCCTAACAAAAGTGACCAGGAAGCAACAACGACTCAATGAGAACAAAGAAAACAATGCAAACCCATACCTTAAGATCAGTTGCAATGTTAGAAAATGTGAGATTTGGTCCCTTACCGGAAATACAGGGAACCTGCTCAATACAAGACATGGGGTCAATACGATCCGGTGATATGCAACGATGGATGGAGAATCCGTACAAGTACAAGCCAAGATATATAGATATGTATCAATTGTTCGAAGACCCACAATAGTGACCATAACTAAAAATGTCAAACTGCACTAGACAGGACACATTGAGACTTGATAGGATATCTAATTGTAGAGCAATTTTTATGTAAGTCATCTGCTGGCACAAACCTAAGGGTAGTAGGGTCTACCAGCCGACCAAAACTGAGGAGAATTCACCTTTGTAGAGAACTACGACTTACATCAGCTTGGGGACCTGCGCATGGAGCCGGAAAGCAATGGATCGATCCGAATGGAAGGATGTATTGTAGCAGGCCAGGCCAGGGCTGTAGCGCAAGTGATGATGATATCGCAAAATCTTGACCCTCTTTCCCCCAACGTTTCTGGTCGTTTATTGATGACCCCAAGCAACCACTTTTAGCAACTGACCCCGCACCCTTCCTTCCAACCATATATTCGGCCCTGAAATCTACCGTAGCTCTTAAAATAGTTAAGTCATCAAGCCTGTCCAAAGGTTAAAATTTCCCATATGTAAATATAATTTTGCAAAACAATTATAGGCTATACTAAAAAAAGAACATTTTTTTTTTTTAAAATGCGCTGAGTTGAAAAAAAAAATATTAAAAACAGACACCATTGAAAAGGAAGAGAATGAAACTCACGTAGTTCACGTCATTGATCAGCCCTTCTTAATCATATACTGCTAAATAAATGTCACCACATGCCATGACTCATAATATGTCTCATATTAGCAAAAGTACTCCAGCAAAACATAAAGCCAAACAGGCATAGTTTTAATCATTTTTTGTCTGTTTCACCAACATTTCAAACATTTTACGCAAAGAACGGGCTACAAACATAATCTAGCCTAAGTATAGTTACCGTCATATACCTTACGTGAACACGTTGCTTGGCAAACCAGTCATCATTGTCAACAAAGGCACACACAATTCTACGTTGTCCTGTGGCATCGAAGTCTTTTATGACTTTAGTGACGTCAGGAAATATGTCGGTGTGAACATGCGGCAGCGCCAGAGCTGAGAGTCGTTCTGATCCCATTGTTGAACGCATAGAACTCTTGAGACGGAGGAGTGCCGAGAAGCTGCGTTCAGCTGTGGCGGATGTAGCAGGCATCATTAAAAGTACATGAAAAACAGTGTGCAAATTTGGGTATAAATCCTTCGTGAGCCTTCCTCAGCCACCGATGCCAAGCAGTAGTGGTGGACGGTACAAGCATATGCTGCTTGTATAGAGCTAAGATGTGTCAAGGATTTTATGTGACGTTGTGCATGTCCATCTATGTTACTCCAGTCTGAATGCTTATAAAAGCGCATGTCGTACCTGAAGCAAATACTGAGTAGGCAGCACCGAAAACACCATCCGCCTTGACACTGTAACTCATAAACGGATACACATTTGAGTTAAACATAGAACTAGGCACATGGCGTTGTTTATTCCCAACTGTCTTCAAAGGCCCTTTCCAGTTCTTAGATGGTTGAAACTTTTCCAAAAGCACTGATTTCTGTACTGATTCAGGTAATGTTTGGTTAAAGTTGACCTCACCAATATCGAAAAATAAAGCCGAACAGAGACTTTTAATGCCTGTGGCTTTCTTGGCGGCTGATAATGTCAATGTGTCACATAATGATGATTCTGAATCAGATTCGGATTCACTAGAATTTGAGGACGCACTTGATATGTGGTTATCCAATAATAATGTCATTGCAGGAGTATTTTTAGCAGCATCTTGCACTTGTGACACATTTGTTGATGACGTTGATGTTGCTGATAAACCGGGCGTTGCAATTTTTTTAAAGAATGATGTAATACACAGTTTCTCTTTAGGAGGAGATTTTTCGCCGGTCTCACCTTTATTACTGTCAGCCATTATCAAAAATTGAGGAAATACAAGAATACTGCAACGATTACAAAAAAAAAAAAAAAACGTGCTAGAGTTGACTACTTGGAGAACGACTTGAACGTAAACAAATATGGCCGCCCGGACATGCGCACGTCATACAATAGAGATGTAAACGTAATACATACCCGGTAGTTGCATAGATATTTTTAAAAAGTTTCTAACGGTCACTCACATTCTCACAAGTCAGGGGTGAGTGGAACTCTTCAATTTGATATTTTTCATTTTGTTATTTGATTTTAATATTTAATTTAATAATTGAGCTCCGTGGTGCAGCGGTTAGGCGCTAATTGACTTTTATAAAAAAAATATTAATTTTGTAAATTTTAGTGGACACACGTGCGTCCAGTGCGTCACGCTGCAGGCGCCCCTGCATTGAGATGTCCATCATACGCGATGTGGCTTTTCATACCAGCGTGACATCTGTGACTTTTCCTACCAGCCAGCGTGACATCTGTGACTTTTCATACCAGCCAGCGTGACATCTGTGACGTATCTTGACTAAATTATGCTGTTCATGGTGAAATCTCTAAATTAAATTTTGTGTACAATTTGATTGTTATTATTTAAATATTGACTGCATGAAATATTAAACTATGGTAATTTGGGCAAAGAATTGTTGTTGTTTTTTTTTTTGTTGTTTTTTATATGAATTCCAAAAATCAGTGGGCAGTGGGCTTAGAAAGAGTGGAAGGCGTAGTAGAACTAAGAAGTCCGCCCCGGCTTGCACATTCTTCGTGATATTTAACTCAAGTACGGCATTTTCGGCAACTGCGTTAGTTTTTTTTTTCGCGTAAAAAAAGGGGAGCGGGAAACTTGAGCCAGCCAGTCATCAATAACAATAGCTACGCCACTGCAATTATTTTATTATAAATAAAATAAAGAGATTAAATAAATTTTATTTTCAACAATTTACCAGTTTATTTTTTTTAACATTTGCGATTCCTAATTTTGTAAATACATTAGTTATGACAGATTGTTCGCTTTTGTCTAATTTAAATTTTTTAAAATTACTTCACATTCTTTGAATTTGTGTTTTAATGACTGTTTTTTAATTAAACAAAAATATTGTTAAAAGTAGGTAAAAAAAAACCTGAAAAATAAGATGAAAAATAAAACGTTCATTAAAAGATTGTTTTCAAATTAATTCTAAAATAATTATACTTTGTCTTAAAACGTTACAAAATCTGGCCTATTGATATTTTCTCTGCGTCCATAGTTTCAGGTAGAGGCAATTTCCTTAACGTCATATAAAAATGAACCTATTTTAATACTTTAAAATCAAGTTTATTGCTAAAAACCTTGTCAAGACGGTATGAAAATGTTTTCATTGATATTTAAGACTAAATCAAAAGCCAACGCTAACCGTTAAATCACACCAGTCGACAAACTCGGTCAAGTCATCTCAGAATAGTTAACTAACTTGGACTTGATAATTATTGATATATTAGACTTGGTGGACTTAGTAAACTTGTTCGGTGGTAATTCGCCAATCGGTTTGAACTTTTAGGCATAATTATTTATCATTAATATGGTATTATTTATTTTAATTTAATAAGATAGGATAAGATTCTTTTATTGATCCAAACAAATGAAATGGCTATTTTGGAGAGATAGCACCCTGACGTCATTTGCCCCTGGTTGCGATAGTGTCAAAACCCTGGTTCTAATAGGGTCAAAACCAAGGTTAGGGATACGTTTAGTTTAGGGATAGAATTAGGGTTGAGGTTAGGTTTAGGGATACACTTAGGACATAAGTTCATGGGCCGCGGCAACCAAGATTGCGGCCACTTTGCTATCTCTCCAAATTTACCCAAAATGTTTCTTGATTGCATTGTTTCATTGTACATTTTCAGCACATAGGCTAAATAAAACAATTTGAATACAAGACATATACATTAAATTATTTCACTAGTGAAAAGCCATTTAGTGAATGAACTCTCTTAGTCAGATCAGGGACTTATTAATTCTTAATTAGTTTTGTGACTTCGGGGGGAGCACGCTGTTAAATTTGTTCAAATTGAGGGGAAAAAAGAATTGTTATTTGTTTCAGTCCTCCCCCTGAGAGAAAGAATATAAAAGTAAATAACACATGTCTAAGAGAAAACTTAAGTACATTAATTAACTTGTTTGGGCTCCAATAATCAGTGCCAGCCTTAGACTTAGTTTAGCAAGTACAAGTTTAGTTCCCTTTTTTATACTATATAAATATAATATAAGCAAGAAAAAAAATGTGTTGTAATTATCCAGTTTAGGTGCCCAAACTTACAACATTTCAACATGCAAATTAAGACAATCAAGCACTTTTTTAAAGAATAAATTAGTACAAAAGTCAACATGGATAAGTTAGTTTCAATTTTTCATACCTTCACTGAACAGTGAACTGGACTGCGATTTACCTCTTTATAAGTGTAGTTAGTTAGACCTAGGTATAATAATTATTTTATGCATAGCCCTATAACTAATATATTATACTACAATGTCTAGTATTAACTCTACCTGCCCTAACTCAATTATTACTTGTGACGTTTACTCTCTACTGAGATGTTTAAGGGCGTACGGTAATATCTATTAATTAAAATAACTGAGTGAGAGTACATCATCTGTGATGTGTGTTATGAAAGTTTTGAAACTATACAACTGGAAGATGCACAGCGTTCAGTGAAATCACACTTTTGAATTTAGGCACCTAAACTGGACAGTAATCAAAATGTTACCCTAGTAATTATAAATGTTGAGCAATCATCTATTCTAATATTTTTCAGTTTTCTAAGAAACCATCTGTTCTATTTATTTTCTAAAAGTATTAATAAGACTTATGGAAATGTGAAAATAATATATTTATTATAGCCTAACTTAAGTTAAGCTCAAATTCTTAATTAGGTTAGTTTGTGATGAGGATTAGAGTTTATTTAGTAGCTAATGTCATGACAAACATAGCAATTAAAAATTAGTAGGACACTTATGCAACAAATGGTTTAACCACAAATTTATAAAAGTTTTACGATTATCTGTTAGCTAATAGTTTATTTTAAGAAAAATTTGCCTGACTCATTTTAACAAAGGAAAACTCTGAATTATTTCTGTCTTTTGAAACTCTTCTGAAGGTTTTCTGGGTATGGATACTGTAGCTAAACCAACCAAATTATTGTCAGGAAATGTTGAACAAAGATATAATCTTATGTTTTTAAGTGTGAGTTTTGAAAAAGTTTTTTCATCAATTGCATTTTGTTCTGGGAATTTTAGCAAAATTCACACTACCACACACATCTTGGGAAAAGGAGCAAAAAGCCCATTCAACATAGTTCATCTAATATGCCCCGTTGGCTTGATTTTATATGTCATTCTACTTTATAAAGCAAATAACTCAACAGCTTTATTTAATGTCAGCGAAATTCTAAATTTTCAGATGCTAAAGCTATTTAAAGGTCGATGCATTCTTTGAAAAAAACTTAATTTTTATCATATTTCTTTAGTTTTTTAAATTCATACAAAAACTTAATAAGCAACTGATGGATGATAGCTGTTGCTGGTAAATGTACAATAGGATCACTAACTGAATAAATTACTGTATCTAAAATCTGGTTAAAAATAAACTAAAAAATTATTTTCTGGTTCAAGAATCGGATCATCTGGACCTTTCATGTCAAATTGTCTCTTTTAAGTCAAGATTTAGCTGTCATTCCTGGTGAGAAGTTTCTAGAATACCCAGTTCTTCTACCATAGATTTAGCTGTTATAATTGCTTTAGCAAAGACTTTATCCGTTCTTTAATTCTAAAGGATTGTATATTTTTTTTATTCCATTCAAACGTTCAATAGATTTAAAATGAAGATCTTTTTTCTGGAAGCTTTGCTAGATATATTGATCTCAAATATAATATCAAATCACTAATTTTTTGTTGTTTCAAATCCCTTAGCTTCCGCGTGGGACTGATTTTCATGTGCTCCAGTTAGGGAAACATCATCAGTAATTGAACTATGGCATTGTAAATTTTAACTGTTTGGTATCATATTACTTTCAAAGCATTAACTAGTGGCATAGCAAGGGTTAGTGCCACTGGGGAAGGCTAAGATTTATGCTGGCCCCCCTCCCCCCCAAATTCCTAAAATGACAACAACCAAGTTTGAGCGAAAATTCCTCCCCTAATTGTGAAGAAAAAAATGACACTCTGGGAACCCCCCTCCACCCCCTTTTTTTTCTTGCCTTTTTACATTTAAACTTGCAGCCTCTTTGACATTTTCCAATAATATATTCAAATATATTTGAGTGATATTTTGCATACCAAAATTTATATAATAGTAAATTAAACCAAAAATACATTACTGCTTCCAAGCAACAGGTTGCAGCATCATTAACCATCAAATTTAATAAATACGCTTGCAAGGATAAGCACTCTTCTAACTCATTGTTTGCTCCACTATCATCATGTAAACATTTATTTTTATTTATATATATATATATATATATATATATTCTTTTTTATTTGCATCTGCTGGAATTTGCCACCCCTTGAAAGACTGCTCCAGACAGTCATCTATTATCACCTACACTACCTAAGGCTGACAGTGGCAATAATACAAGCCTACTACTGGCTAGGACGAGAGCTCCAAGGCCTAAGTACTTACATTTTCTAAAATTTTCAAAAGTGTTTGTTGTTTGCCTTAAAATAAACAGAATTTTGGAAGGATAGCTGTAAGCCTTTAACCCCCCAACCCCCCCAAAAAAAATTGAAAAAAAATAATAATAAAATAAAAAAAATGTCTATTTCTATTCCTAATAGAAGTTGAGCAAGGAATTTGTTTGCAAAATTTGGAACAAACTTATAAAAAAACAAAATTTAAAGAAAAGAGGATACTTGTACCAAATTTCCAGGAAACATTCAAAATATCATGTACAGAATAATGAACCAGAAAGTTTTAAATGAATAGCAAACTATTTATTTTGCATCATTATATTTGAAGGAAACTTTAAACAAAAAATACAAATGAGAAAATCTGTAAATCATACTAATCCTTTTTTTGTTGTTGTTGATATTTTAAAACATAGTTATTGAACAATTATCTTTTTTTTCCCTTCAATTTCAATAGAATTGTTAAAATATCGATATTTTCTGTGTTCCCTACATGACAGCTGGTCATATTTTGTAGCTTTGATGCTGATCATTAGATGACAATGAGTGCTGAAAAAGCAACAGAAGTTATACATGGGCCAGACACATGCACATACACACCCTGCTACTGGTAAGATTAACAATAATTAGACTTAATGATGTTTTTTTTTTGGAAACTGTCACAAATTATTTTAAGTTTTCTATCTCAAAATTAATGTCTAATTGTTAAAATAGCACTAACGTAATATAATCATATGATTAGTAAAGGTTCACCATCAATGTAAAAAAAGAAAGCCTTTTAAAAATAAAGAATATGTTTAATTTTTTTTTAAAATTTATTCTTCTTACCCAGTGAAGAAAATGTATGGAAATTATGTGAACGTATACAACAGCGCTGCAGTGAGGCAGAGCTTTCAAAATGCTCTTGTGTTTTTATTTCTAACAATGAAAGAAAGGTGAATGCAAATTTAAAACTTTTTGTTAACCTTGATCCAAGAGTGGACCAAACAGTTTTAATTTATTTTAAAAAGTTAAATAATAGTTGTTAGCTCAGTTCTGTAAATCAAGTACTTTAAACATTTTGTTGGTCATTCTGACCTATACATTTGGGATTTATTTCAGTTCATAATATTCCTTCTAATTTTTTAAATAGATAATGAAAACAGTTATTATCCTTCAAATATTCTAAGAAAGTATAGCTATTACAATCAATCCTGTTGTTGCAGATTCCCCTCTGGCACCAGAAGGCCAGCAAAAGTGCAGACAGATGTGTCATATGGGTGAGTAGGACATCAGCGCACACACAGGAGCCAACTGAATGTCTCTGTTGGCATGTGTAAAAAATGCAGGGCATCCAGTCACTGTTTATCCTGGCACTGGAGTTTTCTAACTGGCATCATAATTTTTGTGGTTTACCTAGCACCTGAGATAATAAAAATAATGATAATAATAATAATAAAGTTTATTTGAAAATCACGCTTCATCCCCAAAGGCTCGAAGTGCACTAAATCATATCCATGGATTTACAGACTTTGAGATTGAGACAACGCCTTTGTCAGTGAACTTTGAAAGAGAATACACTCAGTGAGACAGGTACCTCTTCCTCGATCAAGACACTAGAAGAAATATGCATTATCTCAAATCATGGCAAAGCTCCAAGTGTAGACTCCATCCCAGCCACATTCTACAAAGAAGGGGCGTCAGTTCTGCAAGGCTCCACCATCTGTTCCTACTAATGTGGTAGCAATTGACGTTCCTGCAGGATTTCAGAGATACTGCTATCGATCACTGTGCTCTGGTGTTCTTAAATCGAATCCATCTATGCAGCTGATGAGATCTTGCAGAACTGGGTGATGTGGTCCTATTTCTTTATATGTGATACGCTGGTTGATTGTTATGAGTGAAAAGTTTAGCTACTAAACAATATCTAACTATTCAGGAATAACAAATTTGAGAGCAACATTTCAAAATGAGAAAATGTGGAGAGATTGCACTGCTTCTTGTTTAAGCGATTCGTGAACAGGAAGTATTTGTTAATAGCGTTGACTGTTTTTGTTTATATTAATTAATATATAGAATGGAAAACACAGAATAAGTCCACCGATTCTTAGTTATGTTCGAAATAAATTATATTCATACGTCAAGGAGATGTTCAGATACGACTTTATCAAACTATCAGGAATAAAACTTGAGAGAAACTTTCCAAGAAATGAGAAAATATAGAGCCATTTCACCGCTGCCTGTCAGGTGCTTGTGAACCGGAACTGCATATGGGATAATGGGACTGGATCCTGATTATTTTAGTTCCCCTAATCTGTATATTAGTATAGATCTTAACTAGACCCTATATGACTACTTTGTACCTGCATTAAAATGTATTTTGAAAGTTTAAGAAAAATACATTAATATATTTTTTTCTCGTTGTTACACACAGACTTTATTTAAATGTTAGGATTTTTGTATGAAACAAGGATTGATGTTTAATTTAGACTTATGTAAAACTGGAGCAGCTCAGACAACTTTTCCTCCCTTCATTAATATTGTAGGAAACATGGCTCCTCCCCCACCACCATGGGTCCAAAAAAATTATGACAGAAATAAATAAAGTAATAATTATCAATCTTAAGCTCAACATAGTCACATGACCTCATAAAATCTTTTTGATGTTTTTAAAATAATGACTTTAAAATAATTATTCATATTAACTTCACCTTCAGCCAACAGCCTAATTATAAATAAATTGACCCCTACCCTTTCACCACGGTCTGTAATGTATGTTATGTTTATTTCATTTATATTTTATATTGTTTCTTCTGTTTTTGTTTTTCTTTAAATTCAACACTACCTGCAGTTTCCTTTGACACTGGTACAGAAAGTTGCAATAAAAATATATTTTTTTTCTTTTTGATACACTTTTTTCTTTCTCTTAATATACTATTTTTAAAATTTCAAGACTAATGATGCACATGCCAGTTATGAAGATCAGGAGAGGTGTAAAGAAAGTGTAAAAATGTCTATGAGAATGAGAATTTTTTCCTCACAAAATTGAGCTGCGAGACAAAATGATGGACACAAAACTCAGTTGATACAAATGTATTTATCCCACACAGGACTACCATGTGATCCTCTTGTATCATGATACGCCAGTGACACTTGTGTATGACCTGGACACAGAGTTGAGCTTCCCTTGCCCACTGAAAGAATATGCCGCAGCCTGCATTGGTAGTGAGAGCACATTCAAGCAGGAATATAAAAGGTTGTTCCATTGGTCAGTGAACAAAATGCGCACCAACTAATGAATAGTGAAATAGTTTAATAACCTGGAGAAGTAATTCCCAACCCTTTTAACTCTCTGACCCTTTTAAAATCCTTTATACTAACTTAATTTTTGTTCATGTGTTTCTGGCTGGCAAAATCTTGAGACGGCTAATGGACCCACTTAACATCAACCTATTAAACTGAAACTTGGCACATAGATTTGATGCCGATGAAAACCTATTCTATAACGCTTTCAGCCCCAACACACAGAAAATCTGTTTTTGAGGGGAAGATGACACTGAGTTCACAAAATAAAATTCCTAATAAATCAACTAAATGAGATTTTTTTTTTTTTTTTAAATCGCACATGTGTTTGTTTTCATAGTATTTTCTTTGGGTTTTCCGATATAGTTGGTGAAATAATACTGGGGTGTAAAAGCAGGTGGGTCATTATATTTTAAATATAGTTCAGGATTATGATAAAAAAATGTGCGGTTGTTAGCCTTTTGGGTTGGGGGGGGGGGGGCTTTTAATTGGGATTCTTATAAAGTGTGTTACTTGTATGCATGATTTGTCAAACTTTCAATCCCATCCCATCCCATCCCCCATTTCTCAATATTACATTTTGTAAAGGATTTATAGAAAAAGTTTGTTTTTAGGGGTTTTTAATTTTAGAATCAATTTATATGGGAGCAGCAGTACAGGCTACGCTAAAGAATTTTTTACATGTGAAATTTTTTTAAGTTGTAAATCTTATTTGAATATTTAAAAGTAAAACTTTTTCAACACTGTTAGAATCTGTTGGCTTACAGTTGCCTGTATGTTAAGAAATCAGAGTGATTGTTGTTTTTAATTGACAGAATGTTTCGGGTGGTTCCTGCTCAAGATTACCTCACAACATTTGCATCAGACCGGTCACACATGATCAGCACAAAAGGGGAGTGGCTATCGCCTCCTCCAGATTACCCGCCAATCAAAAGCACAGGTCTGTAAATGGTCAGCCAATACTTGTGAAAAAAAAAAATCAAAGGCTGGGGGAGCTATGGGCATCCATAAAGCTCTTTTCACTTGAGAAGGGCGAGTTGGGCTAAGAAATTGTAACAGCTTGTGATTTCTGTAAGGGGGAGGGGGGTTAACCTCTTGTCTGAAGCAACATGTCCTTGATTTTTTTTTTTATCAGATATAAATCTTGAAATTGACAGACATCCAACTATCTGATGAGATGAATGTGTTTTGACACAAGATGTCCCTTTTATAAATTTAATATTCTAATAGTTTTTTTTAGATTAAATTTTAATTAGTTAATTTTTGTACCCTTAATGTGCAATGCTATGCCTCTCATGTTACTTATAACCTAATATATATATATATATATATATATATATATATATATATATATATATATATATATAATGTGATATATTTTGTATTCTTATTGTGTGATATTCTATCTCTCTTATGTTTTATATAATAATATATATATATATATATATATATATATATATATATATATATATATATATATAACCAGTGTTACAGCTCATTACTGGCTAATTGTTAAGATAATTTACTGCTATGGAAGCACGAGACAGAACCGATACTTTTCATCACCTATCACTTTATTCACACATTACAATTCACAGTAAAAAATAAGCCTCCAAGTTGGAATAACATAATTGTCTTGATCTCATACACTCCACATAATTTATAATACACACCGTTGGAAGATAGCTATTCACAAGAGCAAGAATTCACAATCATTAAGTTTTAGCCCTAAGTTTAACACAATGACAATATTAGACACAACGGTAAAGGTTAACATGATGCCAAAGCTAAACACTGGTATTTAGTTTTAGCAGTAAGTTTAACACAATCACAATATTAGACACAATGCCAAAGCTTAATACAATGCTAATGCTAAACACAATGCCAATGTTAAATTCAACATGACACATAACATTATTGTTAAAAAGTTACCATGGATAATTGCTCTAAAGCCCACTTGTTCATAAGTTCATAAGGAAAAGTTTATCTGACCTCAAAATGAAATGCTAATGTAAGTTATTTGGTGCCAAAGAATATGTAAAATGATATTTTTAAGGGGCTTAAAATGAATGAGTCTTCTTCCCTTCTCTTGGTTTTTAAAAAAATGTTATCTTGTAGAACTATGGCGAAACACAGGAATTAAAAATTGTTGAAATAAAATTTGTTTAAAAGATGAAATTGAAACTTTATTTAACTTCAAGAAGAAAAACAAATCAAAAATATAATTAATGTAAGTGCAGATATTTATCAATATTAAATGATTCTGGTAGCCAAAATTGTAGAGCCGCCTGACATACAAAGACCTTAGTGATCTGCAATAATAATTTAATTATTCAATGTACATGATGAAAATAATTACTATATACTATGACACCCCACTTATTTCCCTGAAATATTTTTCTTTAAATGTCAGCTTTAAACTGAATATATATTGGAATAAGCTGAGGGCACTTCATCTGCCCCATGTATACCATTCATGTATCATTAGTGTATGCTTCATTTGGTCTGGTTAATTTGAGAAAAATATAGGTCTGCTTTTTTTACTCTTTATTTTCATTAACTTCATTACATCTTTTTTAAACAGCCTTTTTTTTTTCCCACTTGAGATTGATTACATGTCAGATGTGAGGCAATGACAATTTTAACTTGGTTTGAACAGTCAAAAAATTTATCTCCTCTGCTTAATGTTCTTGTTGACAGGCTCCAGTAACAACATCGACGAATTTATTTCCATGGACAGCTCAACAAACCACGGAATGGTCCTCACACTCCAGCAGTTCCTCAACAAGTTTCAGGTTTACTTATGATCCCAAGAGTTTTATGTGCTACGCCCAGCACACAGTAGCGCACGCAGTACAAAACCACGACTTAATCAAACACTTATGTACACAGATAGTAACACTTTGATGAAGTGTGGATAAAAACCATCAACAGATATTGTTGGAATATACTTGATTTTGGAAAGCAAATTTTAAACTGGATGAAATAATATTTTTTAAAATTACCTTTCCAAAAATTCTTTTAATAAAATGGACAGCGTTAAATTTGATGTCCAATTTATTTTTTGATGCTAGCAGCAGTTTTAAAAATATATTATTGAGATTAATGTTGTTGTTTAGTGAGATTTGAAAGTCTAGTCAATAAGACTTGATATTATCTTTAAAAAATGTGTGAAATTCGTAAATTTTGTGTTATATATTTCCAATGTGACTTTCATCTTTGCAGCAGGTAGTTAGTGTATTTATACAGCCAGAAATATTTAGAGTTTTATTTATTGCTCTGAATTTTGTTTAAAAAAAGTATTCCATCGAAAATTGTCACTTTTAGCTTAATTTTATTAAATTATTATTAAGTATTATTAAACCAACTCTTTTTTTTCTGTTAAACAACTATATTTTATTAGTTGTTTTTTAAAATTTAAAACAGAATTGTTTTTGTACTTTTGAAAGTTCTTCTCTTAAAAGCTGTATAGAATTTACTACTCTGGTTTCAAATTACATATACTTGGGTAAACATGTTGCTTAAAGATGTTACTTTAATTGTAGTATTATTTAAGTATGCCATCTACACTATTCCTAAAATTATATAATTTAATTCTATGAACCAAAGATGTCATAGAAAAAAATTTCTAATTTAATTTAACATCACTTAAAAAAAAGCTCATGTCTAATAGTTCTGAAATTAACTTATGGCCAAATATATGTGTACCTGAAATTAACATTTGGCCAATATGCATGTATACCTTAAAGGAGTGCACACCATCATTAACATTTCACCTGACAGGTGAATTAAATTTTCAAACAATAAATTATTTCTATTTTTTTCTTCTAGATTAAGGTATTTCATCATTTAACTAGGGGTGGCCAACCCTAAAGACCTTGTATGACACTTTTGTAGCGAATGAATTGTTGAAGGGAGACATGTCAGAGCACCTTATTAAAATACATCATTTTCTATGTAACAATGTCACTAATGCTATTTCACTAAATAAAATTCCTGATAACTGCGCTAAATGAGATTCTGATTCAGACATTTTATAAAGCATAGCTTTCACCTTAGTTCATTTATTCTTTAAACAAATTTAAATTGGCAGAGAAATATATTATTTTCATCATAATTGTCAGGTCATTCTTTGACCACCAGTAATTTATTCTTCATCTTGTCACCATTTGTACGTTAAGAGCAGGGTAATATATTTTATTTTTTTACCGATTAAAGATTTTTTGATGGTTTTATATATAATTACAGAAACTTATTTCTTAACTTCTTTTGTACCTTTGGGAGAAGGGGAACATAGTGTAATTACTTTTTATACTTCCTTATGTTTAGCAATTCTGTAATGGATGTGTTTCTTATCAACTTTGTATATTTCTATTAGTGTATATTTTTTAATAGCTGCGACTTTTTGAAAAAAAGAAAACGTTTATATATCGATATCTACTCGTTAAATGCTGATATTTGGCAGTGAAAAATTAATAATTAAATATTGAATGTCCGTTGGAGCTGTAATTTTTTTAAAGTCAAATAAACATATCTGTGAACCCGTATCCTAGGCTAATTGTAACATTGTTGTTATAGATCAGTCATTCTGAATCCCCCCCCCTCCTCCCCCCCCCACCCCCCACATAGTTTCCTCTTTAAAACACCAATTTTTGACCCTGTTGCAACTATTCTTAGTATAGTAGTTTTTTTTTATTTTACTTCTAATTGAATGTCCTTTGGAGCTGTAATTTTTTTAAAGTCAAATAAACATATCTGTGAACCCGTATCCTAGGCTAATTGTAACATTGTTGTTATAGATCAGTCATTCTGAATCCCCCCCCCCTCCTCCCCCCCCCACCCCCCACATAGTTTCCTCTTTAAAACACCAATTTTTGACCCTGTTGCAACTATTCTTAGTATAGTAGTTTTTTTTTATTTTACTTCTAAGACAGATAAGAAGACAAATAACATGTGGCACTGTTAGACTACATTGGTTTGCATTCAAAATTCAAGGGAAACATTTTACATTAAATAATTTAGAAAAAATAATAACAATAATAATCCAGGTCTGAATTCTGCTACTCCACTTTTTTTTTTTGCTTTCAGCAATGTCGGATACCTTCACTAAAATACATGTCCCACTGCAACCAATGGTGAAAATGTAACAAAAAAAATAATTAAAAAATGATAGGATATCTATAGAGAACCTGTTTCTGTTGCCTAAACTTCTCTTTTGGAAATAGAATTGCGATATAAGCTAGAATTTAGATGAAGATCCTTAAATAGCTAAGACATATTTCAATGAGCTCAATGTTATAACCAGTGTGTTGACCTAACTTTGCTTCAATGTAGAGCTGCAGCGTCCACCACTTATCTCCCCTATTTTTTGTTTTGAAGTTGATGGTCTCCAGTTAAATGTGTAGCGCTCCACCACTACCCACCCCTTATTTGACTGTGTAAATCTTGTTTTATAATTGGAAGGTAGAGAATGAGCTGAGGTGACGCGATTTCTTGAATTGCTTTTCCTGAAGGTTCCAACTCCCTCCCTAAATACACGCTGGCAGCTTTCCCAGCTGGAGGAGATTTCCTAGACACGAGACATACTACGAGACTTACCGGACTTAATAGGATCCTTACGAGACTTAATAGGATCCTTACGAGACTTAAAAGGATCCTTACAAGACTTAATAGGATCCTTACAAGACTTAATAGGATCCTTACAAGACTTAAAAGGATCCTTACAAGACTTAAAAGGATCCTTACAAGACTTAAAAGGATCCTTACAAGACTTAAAAGGATCCTTACGAGACTTAATAGAATCCATACGAGACTTAATAGTAGCCTTACAAGACTTAATTGAATCCTTACAAGATTTTACTCTTCGTGTGTGTGTACATAAATAGATGTTTTTGTATCTTTTGAGGATTAGGCTACTACAGGCCTAGATCTACTTTTAACTTGCTGTGCTTATTAAGTTAGTATCCTTTTTTTTCTATATTTCTGTATATTTCATTTTTAAAAATATTTTATAAAAAAAATGTATTAGTTTAATTAAATTGAACATTTGTTTGAATCACAGGTCTTTTGTATCGTTTTTGTTTGTACACGAGTTATCATTTGTACACTAGTTATCATTTGTACGTATTGTTCATATGATGAGCAGAGCAAAGGCTTGACACAGATTGAAGTTACAACAAAAGAAAAAAAAACAAAAAAAAAAAAAACAAAAAAACCAAACAAAAAAANTTCATTTTTAAAAATATTTTATAAAAAAAATGTATTAGTTTAATTAAATTGAACATTTGTTTGAATCACAGGTCTTTTGTATCGTTTTTGTTTGTACACGAGTTATCATTTGTACACTAGTTATCATTTGTACGTATTGTTCATATGATGAGCAAAGCAAAGGCTTGACACAGATTGAAGTTACAACAAAAGAAAAAAAAACAAAAAAAAAAAACCAAAAAAACCAAACCATAACGGTCCGTAGACAGTAACATGGCATAACCAAGTAGTTTGAAAATTTCTGGCATTGAACATATCTTTTCAACACATCTTTCAATGAAACTAAGATTAGGATGGGGGGGGGGGTAAGAAACGGTCATGACTCACGACGACGGCCAATGTTGCATTTAGAAAGAGTTAGTTTTTAATGCCTGAGTAGGCAGCACACATTGAGTTTTAAGATTAATCTTTTTCTTCAGCATCTGCAAAATAAAAGTAAAAGAATAAAATATTTTTTTTTTTTTTAAATATGAATTAGCTTTGTCAAGTCCGATTATTTTAAAGTAAGAGAGGTTCGTGTATCTTGCTTTAACAAATGGCACATGGCAAACGTAAAAAAAAAATATAAATTAGCTTTGTCAAGCCGGATTATTTTAAAGTAAGAGAGGTTCGTGTATCTTGCTTTAACAAATGGCACATGGCAAACGTAAAATAAAAATATAAATTAGCTTTGTCAAGTCCGATTATTTTACAGTAAGAGAGGTTCGTGTATCTTGCTTTAACAAATGGCACATGGCAAACGTACCTAATTTTTATCGGTCTCAGCACAGAGCTTGCTGAATGGTTGATCATTGGTTTTATCGGTATTAAGTCACCAGGTGTTGGCGACGAAAGACCCTCTACGTGGTTAACACTTTTGGCACGGTTCTAATTTGTCAAAGTAAGAAAAAATAAACCTCACTGTATGTCACAGATAAGCGTTTCCAAAATGGTGGTCCGTGGACCGGTGCTTCCCCAAATGGTGGACCTGTGCTTGTCGAATTGGTGGTCCGTGGACCGGTGCTTGCCCAAATGGTGGTCCGTGGACCGGTGCTTGCCCAATAGGTGGTCCGTGGACCGGTGCTTGTTTACTAGAAACCAGTGTTGTCTGTTGACAGTGCCCAAAGGAATGTGTAAAGATGTTAAAAGCGGCAGGTACCATTATTTGAAAATATTCCTCTCTTCAAAGGGCATGTGAAGTGTATCTCTAAAACAGCAGATACCAGTTAAACTCAAAAACAGCAGATACTATCCCTGACTGATGTTTGACCTTGATACCATCTCTGAGTGATGTTTGACCTTGACTCTTGTTGATGCCTAAAATCAAAACATCGCGTAGCCTTCCTTAATTAAAAGCTACATTATTTTTTTTTAAATTAAATTTGATTTAAACTGCTGGCTTACGTACTGAAGTTGTAGTAAGATTACTACAATAATAGTGTTGTAGAATAAAGTTGTCTCATTTAAATTATAGTTTTAAGAGTGCTAGTGGCTAGTGGCGTAGCTGGGGTTAGTGTCACCTGGGGCGGGCCAATAATTTTGCCGCACCTTTCCAATACAAAAAAAAAATGTAAGTGGTTGGCCGAAAATAACACCCCTCCATGCAAAGAACAAAATTGTCCAACGGGTCGGACCGCTCTCTTCGCCACCCGCCCTCCTACGCCCCTGATGAGTGCCCGCCTATTTCAGGGGCGTGGGAAGGGGGTGCAGAAAGGGTGGTCTGACCCTTTCTTATTTACATAGCAAGTAGATAATTTCGGACACTGTTGCAGAGTCCTTTTTAGCGCGGAAGTCGCGGTAAAAATTTTGGCCCGCCCCGGTAGGCTTAGGTCCAAACTACGCCACTTACCTGGGCAAATGCGCAACTATTCCGAAGAGTTTCAGCACCAATACATACTTTTAAAATTTTGAAATATTTATGAAAAGAAGAGGGCTGTAAGTTAGGACCAAGTTTTCTGGTGGAAATGCACTGAATGAACCCAATTCTCACACCAAAATCTTTTCATTGTTGACACAGTTCATTTGTGCTACCAAATACTGTGTTAAATAAGGAATAAGTTAAAATGTAGGTCAGCTTTTGTGGATACAGCCCAATGATGCTTGAAATGCAAAGGAAATTGTCATTTGTTTGAGTGGATCTGTAGGCTGTAGGCCTACTTCAGGGATTCTCGTGTAATTGATTTTTTCACCAAAAAAAATGTATTATACGCTGGGCGCTTTCATCTTAGGTAAAGAGGGGTCAGGTGACCCCACTGAATTTACTTAATTATATTATTAACATGTAGGCTATTGAGAAAATAAACTTAATAATTAATGAGGACGAATAAAACTATATAATGAACACCAGGTAATTGTGTGAGTCCTCTAGTTTTTTTAATAAACAGTACTTGATCACGTAACTAAATCTCTCAGCAGTGACTCACAGGCTAACAGTACACACTCCACTCATCATCCCCTTTTTTTGCAAAAGAAATCTGCTGATGCCCATGTGTGATGGCCATGGCAGTAGTATATGGATTACCTTGATCAATGGAAAGATGGATTAAGATGGTCAGTGGATATACAGAGTTGGTCAGTCGATAGACTGAGTTGGTCAGTCAATGGACGGAGTTGTTCAGCTAATGGACGGAGTTGGTCAGTCAATGGACGGAGTTGGTCAGTCAATGGACGGAGTTGTTCAGTCGAGAAGGGCAGTGGATAGATGGAGTTGGTCAGTCGAGTAGGTAAGTGGATGGATGTTGAAATAGTATCCTGCCCTAGATGTTGCGGGGGAGACCAGGGTGGCAGGAGAGTTCTACGTCACGACGATGCTCTTTGGCACAGCCCGGAGCAGAGGGGCCTGGTTGTCAACGTACTTTAAGAGCGCAAGCTCAAACCTCAACCAGAACACAAATGCTAGTTCGCGGATGAAACGAGCTTGTCACTTGATGAACAGAGTTGGTCAGTTAAAGTGGTTTCGTATTCCCAGTGGCCTGAAAGTTATACATGAACTTTGGTCTAAATCAGCGAACTATTCTATTCGTTTAAGACATTCTCTTATTCTCAAATAAGGCATTGAAAAAAAAGCCAAACGCAAGGGGAAAAAAATGAGGATGTCCACGTTGCCAACATGAATAGAATTATTCGGTTTTGATTACATTTTAAAATTCTTTCAAAATTAAGTGAATCTTGTTAAAGATTTAAAGTAATAAAAATGTTTTATTTAAAAAAAAAAAAAAAAAAAAAAAATTTAAAAAAAAAAAAAAAAAAAAAAAAAAAAAAACATTTTTTAAAGAGAATGGGTAGCAAACATACCAAGCAAGACACCAAGCAACCCCCAGTTCTGTGAATGAATTCCAGTTCACAGCTTTCATACCTGTTCAGTGGGGTAATTCTTTATGTACGTAATAAACTGTGAATGACTCTGTGAAGTTTGAAGTTTGCCAATAACAGGACGATACGACACCACTGTATGGAGTAACCAGTGGAGTAGTAGTTTACCCTAACTCGACTTCTTTTAAGCCACTCGGGAGAAAGCAAATACGGCATTTTACAAGTGACGCAAGATGGTGAGCAAATATTACCGTACAAAAATATGGCCATCGTTTTCCAGTGGTGGCATTGGGTGGAGATCAGGATTAACTAGTGTCCAGTAGTCTATTAGGAAGCAGTGCATTAATGGTTAAGTAGATATCAGATTTGACTTCCGTGGATTAGTGGTAGGTAAAGATTTAGGATCAACTAGGGTTAGTTAGAATTTTTGTAAGTAGAATGTGATAGCAGGCTTAACCAGTGTTTATTGGGTTATTGGTAGGTAGAGATTCAGTGGCGTAGGAAGTGGGGTGCGGAAAATTAGGGGGGTGGGGGATCCGCCACGGGTGACACTATTGTTTTCTTTAAGGATGGCTCGCATTTTCGGTCAACTGCAGTTTTTCTTCGTGGAAGGGGCAAGCAAACTCTTGACCCACCCCGAGCGCGCTTACCCTAGAAACGCCACTGTAAAAATGAGGATTAAATAGGATTGAGTAGATTATCTGCAAGTAGATTTGAGAATATCTTCAGCATCCGAGAATTTGATTATCCACAGTTATTATCTAACTTCGATTCTGAAACATAATTACATTATTATTATTCAGTCAAAACAACGTTTCGTATCGCCATCATGATATTTAATTGCAGCTCTTCTTTCTCTCGAATTTTCGTTCCCCCAACAGCTTAGAGACGTATGACCTAGCTTTAAAGTTTTTCACAAAGTGCTATGTTATTACTTGATATTATGACTCATCTGTTCAAACTTGCATTCCTTTTGTTCGTACTCCGTTATCCACCACTTGCTGATCTTGTGTCATATGTTTTCGTCTATAAAACCAAATGCCTCAAGTTGTGCACAAAAATATTTATTCAATCAAATACAGTCGTGTAAAATACAACTGAGAAGGAGGCGAAGGAACTCATTTAAGAGATTTACCCATAACAACTTTTAAAAAGGGTATAATTAGTATACTTAGTGCGTTCTCCTGTGGACAGTATGCTACAAAATTGTTTTCATTTGCGGCAATTTCTGGGAATTTTAGCAAAATTCACACTACCACACACATCTTGGGAAAAGGAGCAAAAAGCCCATTCGACATAGTTCATCTAATATAATTATTATAATTCTTAGCTTGATTAGATTTGCTTCCTGGTTGCCCATTTTATTTGTAAGTCCAATTTATTTGTTTTATGTTTTGAAATATGTTTTTCCCCGCGCAATTTGTCTTTTAGTTTATTGTATTATTTCAATGTTTTTTTCCATACTTGTTCATATCTTGATCTGATTAGTTTACGTTATTTGGTCAATCTCAAGTCCCAAACTTGTTGAGATATTAAGCCATCCTCTTAGCCATGAAACTCGGAGGGTATTCGCCTAAAAAACATTGAAAGTCCGTTTATAGGCTACTATATGTTTGTATTTTGCCCATGTATTGGTCAATTCGACATAACCTCGATATGTTGGCTGCAGCCTCGTGTTCATTGTCTGTGAAAAATGTGCATTCCTGTAGGTCACCTTGTGGCCCGTTGTGACAAGTTGAGGCTGGGTGGCCCGTTGTGACAAGTTGAGGCTGGGTGGCCCGTTGTGACAAGTTGAGGCTGGGTGGCCCGTTGTGACAAGTTGAGGCTGGGTGGCCCGTTGTGACAAGTTGAGGCTGCTGGAGACTTTGTCAAATTTCTTCCACCGTAAATCCACCCTTGGAAACCCTTGTCAAATAATACCATTCCTCCCCTCTGTTTCGCCCCGCAGTGGCATAGCCCGAGTGACTTCCCTTTGTGTTATCGCATTCCTACGCCAGATCGTTCACCCCAAAAGCGTGGATTTTGTGTTCAATCCCTCTCACCGATACGTTTGAGAAAATAATACCCTTCCTGCCCACAGTTTTTCCCTTGCTCTAATCCGCCTTTCGCTAGAAGCCAAAAGTACCAGAAGATGACTACAATTTTAAAATTGTAGAATAAAGTTGTCTTATTTTAGCCTACTTTCTCCGCTAGTCAGCCTTTCGCTAGAAGCCAAAAGTACCAATGAGATTACCTCAATTATATTCTGGTAGAATATAGTTGTCTGATTGGAACCAGCTTTCTCCGCCAGTGCTTTTTCATAACAAGGCTTTCGCAAGACACACAAAATTGACCAGCTGCTTCAAATGACGCTTGAGTTGGTCTTCGTTTTTTAAGCAGTGGTGGAGGTAGTCGTTGAAGCTACGAAGACTGCATTAAGCGTAGGAGCGGACAAGCTGTAAATCCCAATGTGGCTGTCTTATAAGCAGCATTGTCTCAGTTATCTCCATGCTGGCATCTGCTACATAGCACTTCATTATTGTCATGTAGTGTCCATTTAAAAGACATGCTTGTATGCAGTCTCCTAAGGGAAAAGATTCCAGTGTGCCGTGTCCATTGTATTTCTAACATTGCCATAACCTTCAACATCGGGCAGTTCGGTCTCGTTTAACAGAGGAAAAACAAGATCAAATCGACTTCAAACATTTCTACTGTGACATTGAACTTTTAAGAAAGTTTAAATTTATATATTTTAATTTTTTTTTTTTTAAATCTCCCCAGGGTTTAAATATTGCAGCACGATGGATCCTCTGTCAGTAAGTAGAATCATACGATGAAAAGATTATAGTTATTTATGTATTTAAAAATCAAACAACACTTTTGATGGAAGTAGATTAATTTTTTTTTTTAAATACATTACACAAATAAAAGTAATAGTTATTGAAAGAAAATAATTTATGTCATCATGCAGAATTTATTTATAGTTTTATATTGAAATATGCTACTAAATTTTGTTGTAAAATTATGAGAAAACACACTAAATTAACACACACACACAAACGCACTAACAATTTATGCAAATATGTATACATTGTTTGTTTGTGAATGCAGAAAGCACTGAAAAGAACCATAGACTTTCACGACACGGCGGGCATACATGACGCTGCCGGAAAGCTTGTTCCCTTCTGCCGTCTGCCGAACGGTAGACTTTTCCCGCCGTTCGGGGAGCAGTACATCAACAACGTTAAGACGACCAAGCTGAGACCAGACGACATTTTTGTTTGTGGCTACCCCAAGTCAGGTAGAATAACTCTTTTAGAAATATATTTTTAGGGAACTGATTCTGATCAAATGTGCATGCAAACTGTTTAGAGGAGTGAAGAGTTGGCACCACCAAAACCCCAGAGAAAACGGCTCACTAGCAGACTTGGGCTTAGATGGATGGATGGATGGATAGATGGATGGGTGGATGATGTGGAAAAGGATCTACATCATCTGGGAATCCAAGCATGGAAAAGAAATACATTAGTAAATTCTGAGTGGAAGTAAGGGGTGAAGCGGGCCGAAGCCCTACTTCATCTGTAATGGCCCATGGATGAATGCAAATAATGTAAATAAATTACTCCTGCTATAAAGTCACTTAATTACAGTTTTTGTTTTGACCATTCGTCATCACTTCCTTTTATAGCTTTTCGTTTTTTTTAAATTTTCACACGCTGCCAACGAACCTATAAGCACCCTAATGTTTTATTTGTAAAGGTTGTCACTGGACATGGGAGATAATGGTAATGATACTCAAAGGCAAACCCGAGTACTCCAAGATAGGAAAAGTGGAAACAATGCTAGAGCTTGCCTCTCCTGAACTTCCTGCCGCGGTTCCTTCCCCTCGTATCCTCAACACACACGTCTGGTATGAGGAGTTGCCTGATGAGGTGTGAAACTGTCATTCATTTTGGGAAGTTTTAGGTTCCATTTTTCATATCGTCGCTGTAAAGATTTTAGTTAGTTTCAGCATCTTTACAGCAAAAGTTTGTGTAATTTAAAGCCACTTTACAACGTGTAGACGGACATATTTTCACACTAACATTCTTAAACTTCTTTTAGGTAAACATTCAAAAAAACTTTAGTTTTTAATTAGTTTTCATTAGATTTAGGTTTCATTTAATTATTTTGTATTTAGTAACGTCAGTTTCACCATTACTTTTGAATAAGTCTTGTTTTCCTGAACTAACAAAATTCAAATATTTATAACTAATAAAACAATAAAGCTGGTTTAAGAAAGAGTCTACAAACCTTTCAAGTATAAAGAAACATGGGCTAATTCAGTATGTAAAATTGCTGAAACTGTTTATTATTAGGCTAAATATTGTTGTAATTATTATAATATTAGTTTCCACCTTTCAAAATGAGTGAGACGATGATTGCTACGTACCGCTATAATGCGTAGAGAATTGTATCTCTTACTTTACGATATGGCTCGTGACAATCAGTACATAACAAAGGACGATACCATTAATTAAATACAGTAATGAAGAACGATAACTAAAACTAGTGCTATGTAAAAATAATACTTTATTAAAGCTAATTTTAAAATTACCCAATCAAATAAAAAATAACTATTTACTTACAGAACAGCAATGAACGTGTACCCGTACAATGTTGGGAAGGTGCACATAGATATATTTATAGATTATACAAATCTACGATCAGTGCAGTATGTCAGTCTATTAGTCTCGCTCACGTATCGCAATCAGAAATCGTTGTCTCGAGGTTTCGCGGTCTCTCTCTCTCTCTCTCTCTCTTTCTCTCTCTCTCTCTCTCTGTCCGTGGATCGGCTTATTTATAGTCTTTCATTGAGACTATTCCAGAAAAGTTCCGGACGCATTCTATCTGTACCTGGGGCCGTCTTAAAAAATTCTACCAAACTCCACTAATTGATGCGTTTACATGTAGTCAAGGGAGACAATTTATAATAAGGCAACACCCCTTTAGTCGCCAAACTTGGGGTCACTCAGAGCTCATGCACGAGAAAAATGACGTAAACATACATTAAATTAAACACGTCAAGATTTGACAACAATGATGAAGATACTTTATTTTAGGCAGTCTCTAAAATTGCAAATGCCGATTCTGCAGTGACAGCCTCGTCTGCACTCCTCGCAGTAGAACCTTGACAGATGATTTTCTCTCGATTTCCGCATGGCTTTTTTTGTTGCTACAATTTCTTTTTTTGTTTGTGTGTGCTTATCTTAAGCTTGCTGGAATTCCATGGTAATGGCTATTCGCCATGCAGTCGGAAGGGTGATAAGCGATACTCTTCAAATCGCCATTTTCGATGTTGGCTTCCCCCATTGTTTATTATTCATATAAAGACCAAATGAAAACAAAAGATGAAGAGAATACAACAAAAAAAATTAAAAATTAACACATCATGACGTGTTTAAACCAACATGTGACAGAGTTTAAGATTGATGTACAATTTCAGATTAAGAAATACAACAACAAAATTGTCCTTACCACGAGAAACCCCAAGGACACGGCCGTCTCCCACTACAACCACCACATCAACATGCCGCACATCTACCACTACGACGGCAAGTTCAACGACTGGGTGCTGCTGTGGATCGAGGGATTGAGTCAGTAACATGTGACAAGAAAATCAAATGATCTGCGTGAATAAGATTAATACATGGATTAGATTTATACAGGGATGAGATTTATACAGGGATGAGATTGATACATGGATGAGATTTATACAGGGATGAGATTTTTACAGGGATGAGATTTATACAGGGATGAGATTTATACAGGGATGCAATTGATATAGCAATGAGATTGATACATAGGTGAGATTGATACATGGATGAGATTGATACATGGATGTGACTTATACAGGGATGAGATTGATACATGGATGAGATTGATACATGGATGAGATTGATACATGGATGAGATTGATACATGGATGGGATTAATAAATGGATGTGATTGATACTGTAATGAGATTAAAACAGGAATGAGATTGATACACGGATTAGATTTAAACATGGATGAGATTTATAAATGGATGAAATTCATGCAGGGATGAGATGTATACAGGGAAGAGATTTATACATGGATGACAGTTATACAGGGATGAGATTTATAAATGGATGAGATTTATACATGGATGAGAGTTAAACAGGGATTAGATTTATACATGGATGAGATTTATACAGGGATGAGATATATACAGGGATGAGATGGATACATGGATGACATTTATTTATAGATGAGATTTATACAGGGATGAGATTTATACATGGATGACATTTATTTATAGATGAGATTTATACATGGATGACATTTATTTATAGATGACATTTATACATGGATGACATTTATTTATAGATGATTTTATACACGGATGACATTTATTTATAGATGATATTTATACACGGATGAAATTTATTTATAGATGATATTTATACATGGATGACATTTATTTATAGATGAGATTTATACATGATTGACATTTATTTATAGATGAGATTTATACATGGATGACATTTATTTATAGATGAGATTTATACATGGAGGACATTTATTTATAGATGAGATATACATGGATGACATTTATTTATAGATGAGATTTATACATGGATGACCTTTATTTCTAGTTGAGATATACATGAATGACATTTATTTATAGATGAGATTTATACATGTATGACCTTTATTTATATATAAGATTTATACATGGATGACATTTATTTATATATGAGATTTATACATGGATGACATTTATTTATAAATGAGATTTATACATGGATGTCATTTTTGTATAGATGAGATTATACATTGATGACATTTATTTACAGATGAGATTTACACATGAATGACATTTATTTATAGATGAGATTTATACATGGATGACATTTATTTATAAATGAGATTTATACAGGGATGACATTTATTTATAGATGAGGTTTATACAGGGATGAGATTTATAAATGGATTTAACATTTTGAGAAAAATTGCTTGATTGACCAACAGAAAATGGGTTTAACCTTTGACCTTCGTATTAGTCCCTTGGTAAGAACAGAAAGGTATAGAAGGTCATTTATTCCACAGTCTGTAAATATTTACCCAGCGTGCTTCCAAGTCAAGTAGACAATAGCAAAATGGTTAATAAGTCCATGCAAGGATGTTCACTGGAGACACTTGTTTGATGACTGAAGATTGATGGTCTGAATGTTTAAGAAACATGCATGATAAATAAAGCAAGTAATAACCATGCAATTTACCTGCAAATTTCCAGCCCCCCCCCCCCCAATTAACGTTGTCGGCCATCTTGTTTTTTTCCCCAGCTGACTACGGGGGATTTGTGGAGTTCCATCAGAAATGGGACACAGCCATCCGGGATGACCCCAAGCCCCCCATCCTGGTGGTCAACTATGAAGAGATGAGAGAGGTCAGCAACAAGCCAATTAACTGTTTTATTGTTGGTTTGTGGTGGTCCATTTAAGTCAACTGGAAAGCAAATGAATTTAAAACAGTGTAATAATGTAATTATAGTCCATATTTTTTCTGGGGGGGGGGGAGGGTGGGGGAAGGGGGGTTGGAACGGGTGCAGAGGGCAGTGATCTGCCCCAAGCTACACGTCTTTTGTTAAATTGAGAGGTGACATTTTCTCTAAATGGAAGAGGTGTTTTTAAGTGGAACAATTTTATGCCCGCATCGGGCTGCTCGGACCCTGCTTCAGTGCATCTCCTCATCCCTTGGGACACATTTTTGTACATCCTAACTTTATATTAATACATAATTTGTCACTTCATATATTTTAACGGAATCCCCCCCCCCCCATTTTTTGCTTGCCTCCTCCAACTGCGTCACCATTTGATACCCTCACCACTGGAAATAGATCTTTGTCTTCTAAAAGTACTCCAAATACATCTAATTAATAAAAGAAATACTTTAATTATTTAAAAAAAATATATTTTAGAACCTTGAACCAACAGTCCGAAAGTTAGCTGAATTCCTTAGTGTGACCTTGACCGAGCAACAAATCCAGGAAATCACAGAAGCTGCTGACTTCAATACGATGAAGGAAAAATTCAAAGGACTTCCTACTGAAGTGTTGATAAGAAAAGGTAAAGTCAATGGGATTTCCCATTTTTCGTATAGTAATAATAACAATAATAATAATAATATATATATTACAGAATTGAATAAAATATTCCATGCCGTATGTATTTGTGTAAAAGTTACTCTTTGTTTTTTTTACAAAACAAATTAATTAAATCTTAGGGGTGAAACGCATCCACTTGATTTCAGTTCCACTTACTGGCATTCAGTAAGATGTGGTCATTAATACGTACAGTCCAAGAACTGTCGTCTCCCTTGCTATAGCTTACGCTTAAGCAGAGGGCGATCCTTTTTTAAAAAAAAAATGGTTTATGAAAGCTCACGTTGTTTATGACATAGTTTATGGCATATTTTATGACGTAGTTTATGACGTAGTTTATGACGTAGTTTACATGACGATTGCTTGGCAGTTTTCAAGTTGTTCTGGAAACAATTTTGTGACCCATGTTTCACAAAATATAAGTTACTAGCTGGGGCATAGCAACCATTTGGCTGGGGCATAGCAACCATTTGGCTGGGGCATAGCAACCATTTGGCTGGGGCATAGCAACCATTTGGCTGGGGCATAGCAACCATTTGGCTGGGGGCATAGCAACCATTTGGCACGTTTACAATACAGGGAGTAGGTGCATAATCTATAATAATAAATTCAGATGGACCACCATTTGTCCTGTCCTTATCGTGTCGTCATACTATTTCTCTCATAAACTTTTTTTTTTTTTTTGGTCGACCCATGACTGAGAAAATACTTCAGATGGCGCTAGAATAATTATAACCTATCTAAACGTGTGACCTTTGCAATGTTCTGACCTACCTGTAAATCAATTTTACTACCGGCGACTCACGTGACTGTGTTCCTTGTACATGTAAATCAAGTCTATGACCGAACTCTCACGTGACTTTGTTTCATATACTTGAACCGCTAGACTTTGACTGGTCTCTCACGTGTAATTACATACTTGTATTTACATTATACTTATATCACTGGTCACTCACGTTACTTTATATCTTATCACTACAAATATAGTCTTTGACTGACCCTCCACGCGACTGTGTTTCTTGTACCTGTATGTTAAGTCTTAGGCTGGCCACTCAAGTGACTGTGTTTCTTGTACCTGTATGTTAAGTCTTAGACTGGCCACTCAAGTGACTGTGTTTCTTGTACCTGTATGTTAAGTCTTAGGCTGGCCACTCAAGTGATTTTGTTTTGTGTACATGTATGTTAAGTCTTAGACTGGCCACTCAAGTGACTGTGTTTCTTGTACCTGTATGTTAAGTCTTAGATTGGCCACTCAAGTGACTATGTTTCTTGTACCTGTATGTTAAGTCTTAGACTGGCAACTCAAGTGATTGTGTTTCTTGTACCTGTATGTTAAGTCTTAGACTGGCAACTCAAGTGACTGTGTTTCTTGTACCTGTATGTTAAGTCTTAGAGTTGCCACTAAAGTGACTGTATTTCTTGTACCTGTATGTTAAGTCTTAGAGTGGCCACTCAAGTGACTGCATTTCTTGTACCTGTATGTTAAGTCTTAGACTGGCAACTCAAGTGATTGTGTTTCTTGTACCTATATGTTAAGTCTTAGACTGGCAACTCAAGTGACTGTTTCTTGTACATGTATGTTAAGTCTTAGAGTGGCCACTAAAGTGACTATTTCTTGTACCTGTATCTTAAGTCCTAGACTGGCCACTCAAGTGACTGTGTTTTTTGTACCTGTAAGTTAGGTCTTTGACTTGCCCCTCACGTGACTGTGTTTCTTATACTTGCAGGTCAAGTTGGTGACTGGAAAAACTGGTTCACTGTAGCATCGAGTGACGCAATCGACAAGTGGAGACCGGATCTTGATAAGACTCTTTTCAAATTCCGCTACTTGCTGTGACGTATATGACTCATAATTTTGGACCAATAGTCAATAAATAGTAAAAATAGTAGTCGATAAATTTCCTCAAGGAACTAAACCTGGACGCTTTACTTGTTGGTTAAGATAAATTTTACTATTATAAGGGTGACGAAACAAAGTTATTAGTTTTGTGTATGTAATAGAAATGAAACAAACAAGTGAAATTTTATCATAGGAAATGTTAACTTACTTAAATATAAACAGAAAAGATTCAAGTGTTTCTCATTTACACTTGTCAAATTATACGTTACTAATACGTCACTTCATTCAGATCTATTTTATCCATTCAATTCTTGAGAGCTATTGAAATATTGTGCGAAACTAATCTCTTCGAAAGAAGATTACTCGGACGAAATGAAATTTTGTTAAGAATGATTTTTAAAAAATACTTTGAACAGGGGATATTTGAGTGAGAAATTGAGAAAATTTAAAATTTTAAATAATTTTTGTTTTTGTGTTGTTTTTTCTTTACTTTTTTTCGGCTCGTTCAAACATTCGTTCGAAGCTACATAATAGTCGTAGTTTCGTACTAATTTCATGATAAATAAAGTAGATAATCTTGGATTTCACACACTCTGCACAGAATAAAACATCATCAAACGACGTACAAGAGTCACCAATGTAATCTAAGATATCTTTACAACTAATATCCCAGTGCCATCTCGAAATGAAGCCCTTCATTTTTTTAAAAATCCGCTATACTTTTTTAATTTAACGTTAATCACCGCGCTGATAAGAGACAAAGTATTCTTCCAAGCATTTTATTTAAATGCAGTTAGTACCAATATTTGAATACCCAAACACGACCCCAACATCTCCAACCACAAGTCAAAGGGGTAACATGAAATTACTCTTAAAGTAAGCGACTCAAATTATACTATTAATTTTTTTTTTTTTTTAAATTTTTGCTTCTGCGAGAACGTAAGTTAAAACTCTACTTGAAAAAACAACAACACACCAATGAGTAACAATTTAAAGTGACACAAAGAAAAAAAAAGACTCCATTACCTAAACAACAATCTTATTGTCTGGTCTACCCAATTAAGAATTTTTTAAAGATAAAACACATTTTCTTGAATCCGCTTCAGTAGTTAAAAATATGAGTCTTCCTGTGCCTCATTTCATTCGTTCGATTGTTTGAGGGATATTTCTTTGATCGTACTTTCCATACATTTTTTTTCACGTGAGACTCACAGGGTTTGGACTTTTGGGTCTCGTTATCGTAACACGCGGTTGGTCGACAGATTCATTTAATCGTTTGGACGAGTTCTTCCTTGTATCGTCGACACACGTCTCTTCTTCTTCTTCTTCTTCTGGGACACCTGATTTCAGATTTAACAAGTGACTTACGGAACAGGTGAACAAAGATGGTCACAATTTGGATAGGTATACCAGAACACATGTGTATCAAACTTATTCGAGTCACACATGAAGAAAGATGCGTCCATATGTGGATACAGATGTTTGAAGCTTTCTTGACTGTACATGTTAGACTTGATTACCTACCATTTAAGAAATTAACCTGTCACGGGAAAACAAATATAACCTTATATACAATGTTTAATGTTGTTTCCTTAAGTTTTTAGTAACTTATAATATGATCAAACCAGGCCTTACACTTCTTGTGTGTTAAAAACACGAAAACTTTTAGTTCTTACATGTCAATCAAACCAATAATTTCATTTTCTGTATGTTAATAACACCAACACTTGCATTTTTTGTATGTTAATCAAAACAAGACAGTTCTTGTATGTGAATCAAAGCAAGACGTACAGTTCTTGTATGTTAATCAAACAAGACTTTATCTTGTATGTTACATTAAAACAAGACTTACTTACATTTCTTGCATATGTCATCGAATGTTAAATACACGTTTAGACGCCATTGTAGTGCTTCAGAAAACCTTTGGATTGTAGCGCAAGCACACACACAACAAAGTATTTTAAAAAAGTACAACAGGAATCCATGTACAACTTAGCGTCAAATCTGACATGGGTCACAACGTTATGTTAGAGATAAAGAAGAAAGCAATATGAAAACAAATAAAACCAAAGGGCTTGTGAAGACAGGTAACGTTAAATCTATAGTTTGCTTATTTACCTGGAATCCTATCAGGTCCTTAACTCCTGTAAGCATGTCAGGGTTAAATGTTCGAGGCACACTGCTCAATGATTTCAAAACTGTAAGCATGTCAGGTTAAATGACAGCTAAAGAACTTACTAGTAATTAATGAAAAACACACTGACACGACAACTGAAGAACGTCCTAGTAACTATCGAACAAAACAGTGACATGACAAATGAAGAACTTCTTAGTAATTAATGAACAACACGCTGGCATGACAACTGAAAAACATCCTAGTAATTAATAAACTACAATCTGACATGACAACTGAAGAACATCCTAGTAATTAATGAACAACACACTGACATGGCAACTGAAGAACATCCTAGTAATTAATGAACAACACAATGAAATGACAACTGAAGAACATCCTAGTAATTAATGAACAACACATTGAAAAGATAACTGAAGACCATCCTAGTAATTAATGAAGAAAAAAATTGCATGACAATCTAGGAATATCATAACGTGACAAATAAAGAATATCAATAAATAACAACTGAAGATCACCCCTATATAAAAAATTGAAGATCATCCCTACATGACATTGAAGATCATCCCTACATGACATTGAAGATCATCACTACAAAAAATAATATTGTTGAAGTAAAGGAATCGATCATATACGCATGAAAAATCGAATGATAAGAAAAAAACCTAAGAAATGCATCTGACTCACCGATTGCACGGAATCTGCTGACTCAATTTGCGACACACCGAAACCATAAATCTACATTACATATGAATACCAGAACCTCAATAGACATTTGTAGACTTTTCTTTGCTTTTAAAGAAAATACAATGCAAAACCAGTAGTACGCTATTTCTAGTTTGATGTGTTGGTGAGAACCGTGTCAAGTTACACTTGTCCTTCGAGGGGACACCGAAAAAATATTTTTAACTTTAACACAGCTCGCAAGAGTTGTGTAATTGCGGATCGTCTATAAATACACGAGAAGGCTGCCACCCTAAGTAAGTCAACAGAACAGAGTGCTGAAACAAAAGCAGGGGACCTCCAGAACATAGTATCATCAGACAGCAGGTACTACCCAGAACAGGATATCACCAGACAGAAGATACCACCCAGAAAAGGGTATCACCAGAGAGAAGGTACCACCCAGAACAGGATACACCAGACAGCCGGTACCACCCAGAAAAGGGTATCACCAGAGAGAAGGTACCACCCAGAACAGGATACACCAGACAGCAAGTACCACCCAGAAAAGGGTATCACCAGAGAGAAGGTACCACCCAGAACAGGATACACCAGACAGCCGGTACCACCCAGAAAAGGGTATCACCAGACAGCAGGTACCACTCAAAACATGATATTACAAGACAACTGGTACCATGCAGAACATGACATCACCAGGCAGCGGTTACCCAGAAAGGTTTGAAACGAAGCAAAGTGCCACCGAAACAGGTTGTCATCAAATAGGTTTTCATCAGAACAGGTTGTCTCCAGAGCAGCTATAATCTGAGGAGTTCAAAAGTTGAGTATTTCGTGGGTTGCATCATGAGTGTACAACACTGCGTGATATCATGAGTGTACAACACTGCGTGATATCATGAGTGTACAACACTGCGTGATATCATGAGTGTACAACACTGCGTGATATCATGAGTGTACAACACTGCGTGATATCATGAGTGTACAACACATTCTCTAGTGATACCATAATGTAAAACATTGAAGACTACGGGTAAACATAGCGAAACCAAGGTCACTATTATGCAGCACATGTAAACATGTAAAAATACAATGTTCGGACCTTAGATGTGAAAAATCATTTGAATGTGGATCTGTTCTTTGAGATAATTAAGTAATATTGGCAGAAATCATTTGTGTCCCTTTTTTCATTTTGAGCTCTACAATTAAGGGCCTAAATATAGAAGCAAATACTGGACAAACTTGGAAGTCATAGAAGTTTTTTTGTGGATATTCCTGTCTTGACATTATTTAAATTAATTTTTGCATGTGATTATCATTTTTGCTATTTCAAACAATTTAATTTTGCATGAAAGATTGTATTTTGGTTTTATTGCTAATTAGTTCAAAACCATAACATAATTATTAAGATGGCCTTCCGTAACATAATTCCTAAATGGGCCTTTCCCAATACGTATCCTAAGGTGGCCTTCCAATAACATAATTCCTAAGGTGGCCTTATATAACATAATTCCTAAGGTGGCCTTCCATACCATAATTCCCAAAGGGACCTTCCATAATATGTATCCTAAGGTGGCCTTCCAAAACATAATTCCCAAGGTGACCTTCCATAACATAATTCCAAAGGTAGGCTTCTATAACATAATTTCTAAGGTGGCCTTCCATAACATAATTCCTAAGGTGGCCTTCTATAACATAATTCCTAATGTGGCCTCCCATAACATAATTCTTAAGGTGGCCTTCCATAACATAATTCCTAAGGTGGCCTTCTATAACATAATTCCTAAAATGGCCTTCCATAACATAATTCCCAAAGGGGCCTTCCATAATATGTATCCTAAGGTGGCCTTCCAAAACATAATTCCCAGGGTGACCTTCCATAACATAATTCCAAAGGTGGGCTTATATAACATAATTTCTAAGGTGGCCTTCCATAACATAAGTCCTAAAGGGGCCTTCCATAACATAATTCACAAGAAGACTTTCCATAGCATAAGTACTACGATGGCCTTCCAAATTATAATTCCATAACTGGACTTCCATAACATTATTACTAAGGTGGCCTTCGACAACATAATTACTGAAGATGCATTCAATAACATAATCGTTATAGGGATCTTTCATAACATAATTCCTATGGTGGCCTTCGATAATATAATTCCTAGGCTGGCCATTAGAGGTTTTAATAACGTTTTAGTAAATTTTATTGACCAAACTATGAGTCCTGTTATTTTTCCCTTTCTTAAAGTCCTGCCACTTGCTGTACATAAATGGTATCGTGTAGATCATGGGGTTAACGGCCGCGTTTAGCGGCATGACAAAAACAACCAACCAGGCGTAAGTGTCTGGACTGACCTCGTTTCCTGTCATCGAACAAAAACCCAAGACACAGATGGGAAACCAGCACAGGAAATTGGACAATGCAACCAAAAGAAGTTGCTTAGCAACGTTAATGTCTTGCACTCTCCTAGCAACGCTCTGGGCATTGGTCATTTCAAATCGCTGACTGGACGATATCAAATGGAAGATGAATATTTGACCAAAGACGATGCAAAGGAACAAAACAAAATTGACACAGATAAAAATTCCAAATGAATAATTCCAGCCAGGATGTCGGACACTCGTAA